GCAGGGCCTGTCTGGCTGAGCCCACATGGCCAAGGCTCAGCCCGGCTGGGTGTATCGGCGGCCCCTGCTGCTCAGATCATGCCCCCCCCCATTACTGCCGCCGACGGGTCTCCCCTCCAGCGCCATCCATGCGTTAAACCTTCCCCATCCCCCACCCTTCAAGCGAGCCGATCCCTATTTTGCAGATGGGTAAACTGAGGCACAGAATGTCTGCAGTGACTGACCCGTGTCTCAGGGTGAGTGAGGTGTAAACCCTAGTCTCCTTCCCTGAGGCCTGCGCGCTGAACACCGGACCAGCCTCCGTCCCCTCCCTGAACTGTCACCGGGCCTGCGGGCCAGCTGCAGCCTTTGAAGAAGTGGGGGTGGGGTGGAGACGATGCCATGGGGGTGACGCCATCCCCAGCACCATGGCGGCTGTGGGTGAGGACACAGCAGGTACCAGCCCCTCCAGGAATTCCAGGAGCCACCTCCTCGCGACCTGTCACGTTCTCTGTCCTGCTGCTGCTGGCAGCGTTTGTGTGCTGCACTGACGCTCTCCACCCCTTCTGTCCCCGTCCCCACCCTGGGGTGCTAGGGGGCACTGCGCTGACCTCCTTCCCCCCAGGGGCACTAGGGGGCGCTGTACTGACCTTCCCCTCCAACGGCACTAGGGGGTGCTGTGCTGACGATCCAGCGCACTATGGAGCGCTGCGCTGACCTTCCCCCCAGGGGCGCTAGGGGGTGCTGCGCTGACCTTCCCCCCAGGGGCGCTAGGGGGTGCTGTACTGACGATCCCGCACACTATGGAGCGCTGCGCTGACCTTCCCCCCAGGGGCACTAGGGGGTGCTGCGCTGACCTCCCCCCTGAGCGGCGCTAGGGGGCGCTGCGCTGATGATCCCGCGCACTCTGGAGCGCTGCGCTGACAGTCTCCCCAGCGCTGCTAAGGGCACTGTACTGCCGATGCCCCAGCGCTGATAGGAGGCGCTGTGCTGACCCCCCTGCCCTGTCCATGCACTGCTGATACCCCAGAGGTAGTAGGGGGGCACCGTACTGCCCATGCCCCGGTGCTGCACTACAGAAGGGACGTCTTCCAGAGGGGAGAGACGCTTGTTGGCTCCCACATCTGGCCCACCCTCCACTCCCACTACACCCGCTCTGCTGAGCCCCAGGTCTCCTTCCACTCTGCTTGGCTACAACATTTTTCTTCAGTCCCTGCCTGGAACGGCTGGGCCGGCGGCCGTGCCCGGCCCTGGCGGGGCTGAGTGCTGTTCACCGTGTGTCGTTGGAAGTCAGCTTGTTCCTGCTGCAATCGCACTTTTATTTCTCTTCCTGCATCTAAATCGGCCCGTTTCTTTCTCAATGAATGGGCGTGCTGCTAAGGGCCCTGAGCTGCCCTGCTGTGTGTGGCGGGAGCAGCTCCCTCGGGATGAGACACTCCAGGGAAGAAAGACGGTCAGTGTTCACTCCCAGGAGCCCCGGCCCTTGCATTGTGTCCCCAGCTCTGCTGCTGACTCAGCGCGTGACCTTGGAAAAGTCCGAGGCATCGTTCTGGGCGGCCTAATTTGCTTAGTGTGGTCAAGAATGCAAAGATGTTTGAGTGGGGGAGGGCGGGTGAAGAATGGTACGGAAATGCAGCTGTGTCATTCTAGAAATCAATGGTGCAGCCTCCCCTGGGAAGCTGTGCCAGTCTGGGCACCGCAGCTCATAGGGTCCCAGGCAGGGGATGAGAATGATTAAGGGCCTGGGGAGGCTTCAGGATGAAGGGAGCCTGGACAGCCTGGGATCAGGTACTTTAGAGAGGGGGTAAGTAAGGCTACGTCTTCACTACCCGCCTATCCGGCGGGTAGCAATCGGTTTATCGGGGATCGACTTACCGCGTCTCGTGAGGACGCGGTAAAATCGATCCCTGATGGCTCTACCGTCGACTCCGGAAATCCACCTCGACAAGAGGCGGTAGCGGAGTCGGCGGCAGCGCGGCAGCGGTCGACTTTCCCGCGTCCTCACCGCCAGGTAAGCCGACCTAAAATACGCAACTTCAGCTACGGTATTCACTTAGCTGAAGTTGCGTATCTTAGGTCGGAAGTCCACTGTAGTGTAGACCTAGCCTAAGAGAGGATGGGACAGGGATACAAAGTAAGGCCTGGGAGAGAGAAGGGAGGCCCGGCTCGACCCCAGAGCACCCGGAGCAGGGAATGGTCAATGAACTGCAAAGCAGCACAATGCAGGGGTAGCTTGTGGGACTCTCTGCCACTAGATATCACTGCGGCCGAGGGCTGAGGAGGCGTTTACGTGGCTGGAGTGAGGACCCTGAGGATTTAAAAACAAACACAAATCCCAATAGCGTTTGCAATGGAGCTGAATGTTCCTATCTCAGGGCATGACCCAGCCTCTAATAGGGTTGGAGGAGAATCCCCCTGGGGCCGGCTTATCCCAGAAGGGGCTGGGGAAGGGGGGTGTCTTGCATCTTCCTCAGAAGCACCTGGTGCAGAGTCGGGAGCCCCGTGGGCTCTGGCACTTCGAACGCCAGCTGTGCTGGCAATAGCGCGGTGAGTCCAGCTCCTTCGGGCCACCCAGGGCTGCGACAGCCGCGGGTGGAAGGTGCTGCTCTGGCTTTTTCTCGTGAGTTCTGTAATTATCACAAGAGAAACTTCCTGCAACTCTAATGAGACCTGTGTTATTGTCAAGTATGTAATTGGTCTCCTGGGGGCTGGACGGAGCCTGCAAGCGGGTAAAAGTTCTCCCTGTCAGGAGTAATTTGCTACCTACTAATAAATGATTCGTGGGTGCTGTTTTCCCCCCCTGAACGTCCCCAGGTCCATGTGTCACGGCTGCAACGTGCGCGGAGAGGGCCTGGCGAAAGATCGGCCTTGGTGCATGCGGGGTGGTTAAACTCTCCGAAATGTCCTGCCCGACTGCTTAATACGCGGGTGCGTTGGATGAGATTTCAGAGTTGTCGAAATTGCCCCCTTCCCAGCTCAAAAGGGAGACGTGCATTAATACACAGAGCCCATGTCCTGCCCACAGGCTTGGAACCCAGAGCTGGCTCCTCATCGCCTGCGGGAGAATCAGGCCTCGTCTGCTGCCTCTGCTGGGAGATTTAGCCAGCCGCCGATTTCTCTCGGGCGGTGACACCCTCCCTGGTCTGCCGGTGTGGGAACGGTGGGTGCTCCCTGCCTTGCAGAGCCAGACTCCTTCTCTGCCTCCAGCTCCTCTTCCCCAGGCCCGAGCTCTCCCAGCTCTGCCCTCGGGGCGGTGGAAGATGCTGCGAGATGCTCCCTGGAAGGGGCTAGTGCTGAGCGCCGGCTTCAGGCCATTTTGGGACCTTAGCAGCTTGGCCTGGAATCTCCTTCGCCGCGCGTGTTCCCGAGCCGCTCCAGCAGTGAAACCCGCTCTGCCCTGTGGCCCTGAGTTCTGGGGAATCTTCTGAGTCTCTGTAAAGCTGGTGTCCAACTGCAGCGCTCCTCAAAGGGGGGGCCTCAGGGAGCCAGACAGTCTGAGCAAGGCTTGGGCCAGCTTCCCCCAGGCAGCTCTGCCAACACCTCTCAATTCTGCCCCGCAGCCCCCTCGTTATCCCAGCCCCGGCCTCCCCCACCCAGCTCTGCCGATGCCCCTCGCTCTGACCCATAGCTCTCCAGCTAGTCCAGCCCTGGGCTTCCCCCCTCCAGCTGAGCCGATGCCAGTCAAGTTCTGGGCTCCCGCCCCCCCGTGATGCTGACCCACAGCCACCCCCACTGTGCTGGTCCTGGGGGGCTCTAGCCGTGGTTGGTGCTGTACAAGGAACCCCCTCTGCCCTGCGGGCGGGGGCAGGGTTTGGAGAGGGCTGCTCCTTGGGGCTGCCAGGTGAATCCTGCTGTTCTCCTGCGCCCTGAGGACGAGAAACAAGCCCGTGGGTTGGCCCAGGCCCAGGGCACCTCCCCGCAGGCTGGTTTCTCTCCCCGGCAGCTGCGATGAGCCCATCAGCCGCTCCGCCTGCGCACGCTGCCGTGTTCATCAGCGGCTGGTTCGTATCACTGCTCCGGGGCCGGCCGTAACGCTCAGCGGCTGCCTGGCGGGGCACCCCTGGGGTCACCTGGCCCCCTTTAGATCTGACCCGTGGCCAGAATTCCCTCTGCTGCGGGGCCGGGATGGAGCCTGCACTCAGGAGCGCTCCAGCCCCCCGGCACAGAGCGGCCCAGCCCAGGGCCCAGCCGATCAGCCAGAGGCAGGGGCAGGTCGTCCCCACGCCCTTTTCCCAGGCCACGCTCCCCGCCCCAGCCTGGCAGTCCCCAGGGCTGTGGAATCTCTCCTCCCCAGCGCCTGGCCCCCCTGCCCTGTGTGCTGACGGGAGTGAAGCAGGAAAAGCCACACCTGGGAGTTCCTGGGTGTGCAGCCTCCACCTCTCCTCTATCCTCCTCCGGCTCCGGCTCCCTTCCGCCCGCTCGCCCAGCCCATCCGCGTGTGGCCGGGTGCTGCTTCCATCGCGCTGGTGTCCCAAGCCCTGGTACCACCCAGCTATCGGGGTGCTACCGCGGCCCTGAGCGAGGGCTGTAAATATCATTTAAAAGTATTATA